ACAACATCAAGATCTATTTCTTCAACCACAGTATTTAATGTATTCCCATTTAAATTGTAACAATAATTTGAAATGTTAAAACCTACATGCATCACCTTACATTTTGGATAGTTAAACATCATTTGCCATGTAATAGCCCAATGCATCAAATGATCTAAATCTCCTTCTAAGTCTGCAGCATTTTTGGTACAGTTAGCCACCCCAAAAATCTTAATTTTTCTTCTGCAAAGTTCAATATTTTCTTAGTCATTCCTGAGTCAACATCATTAATATAAATCACAAACAGCAGAAGACCAAGCACAGAGCCCTGAGGCACACTGCTTGTAATTGTGACCCAGTCAGATCTAACACCATTTCTTACTATTCTCTGCTTTCTACTCTCCAGCCAATTTTCTATCCAATTTAATAACATTTCCCCCACATCCACAGATTAAATTTTTGTAATAAGTCTTTTGTGAGGCACCTTATCAAACTCTTTCAGAAAATCAAGGTAAACCAAAACCACAGTATTTCCTACATCAACTCTTGCAGCAGCATCCTCAAAGAATGTCAAAAGATTTGTTAAACAAGACTTTCCCTTAGTGAAATCATGCTGGTTCTTTGACACTTTATCAAATTGCTTTAAGTGACTCTGCAATGCATCTTTAATCACATTCTCCAAAACCTTTCCAACTACTGATGTAAGACTAACTCACCTATAATTGCCTTGAAAAGATTTATAACCTCCATTAAGTATTGGACTAACATTAGCCAACTTCTAATCTTCTAATACTCTTCCACTACTCAATGACTTATAGAAAATTTTAGCTAGAGGCTCACAAATAAAATCTTTAAGTTCCTTTAAAACTCTAGGATAAAAATTGTCTAGTCCAGGGGATTTATCAATGATATATTTTACATCAGTATTTTCCCCATACATTAAATGCTCTGGTTGAGGCATAATACTTTTATCTTCCTTTGTAAAACCTGAAGAGAACATATAATTTAACAAGTTTACCATCTCATAATATTCTGAGATCAGCTCTCCATTATCATTTTTAAGAGGCCCAGTCCCCATCCTAACATTTTGCCAACCCATCATATACCTAAAGAATTCCTTATTGTTTGATTTAACTCTCTCAGTCAACCCTCTTTCATATTCAGCTTTTGCCTTTTTAACTTCCTTTTAACCAGCTCTCTTGATTTCCTATATGATCTCTTAAATCTCTACTAAACCATGTTCTGCTCCATTGTCCTTTTTTTCTGCAGGGAATATGTATGCATATCAGTTTTTTTTCGTAAATGCTTCCCACATCTGTTCAAGATCCCCTCCCAACTCTTTAGTCCAATCTACAGAAGCCAACTCACATCTCATTCCATCAGAATAGGCTTTCCTGAAATTTGGAATTGGGTTACTATTCTTCTTCAATTCTAGATGTAGTAAAATCCCAAACCTGATAGTGCAAGGATCGCTTGTACCTAAATGCTCACCAACCACAACTCTATCATATTCACATTGGATGCTAATATTAAATCTAATATAGCTTTCTCTCTTGTAGGTTCCATCACCAGTTGGTGTGTAAAAGTGTCCTGAACAATTTCCAAAAACCTATCCCCCTCATTGTCAGACTCAAAATTTTCCCAATCAACACTTCTGAAAATAAAATCTCCCATAATAACATCTTTTTCAGCTACCATTATGATCTCAATATACAGTTTCTCATTAACTTTCACATTCTGACCTGGTGGTCTATAACAAATCCCAATTACAAGACTTTTCCCTTTATATCCACTAACATCAACTCAAACTTACTCAATCTCAATACTGTTTTCTTTAATATGCTCCATCTCAAAAAGGATGCAATTCACTCCTCACATATATAGCTGCTACTTCCCCCCTTCTTCAATACTCTATCTCAAGTAAATAATCTGTAGCTCGGTGCTTCAAAAACATTTCTCTCATCAAAATTGTTCAAATCCAATTAAGTCTCAGTGATACCCTTAATATCAAAATCGTCAATTTCCACAACTGCTTTGAACTCGTCAATTTTATTTCTAATATTCCTAGCATTACAATAGTAACAATTAATCATAAATTTTAAAATAATATTATGTTTTATGCCTGTTGTCCGTGTTTTTTCTGTCAATTATATTTACTATTTTACTAATATCATAGCCCTCACCTATGTCTAGCCCTAGTTTAAATTGGCCACTACAGCTGAGCTAATAGCCCTTGCTAACATGCTAGCCTCTGCCTTGTTTAACTGTAAGCATCCATTCTAAAAAGATTAACTTTCCCATTAAAATTATCCCACAAATCTAGCCAGCCAGCCTATTTGCTCATCCTGGAATTCATTCCTAGTGAACTACTTAGTATCTTATCCTCACAATTTATTCTTGGCAATATCTCTGACAAAATCAAGCTATGACTCTTTTCCTTAAAGGTTCTTATCAGTGTTTTATACTTATCAATAAGCACCTCAGATCCATCTTTCCTTACATCATTAACCCCAACATGTACCACAAATCTGCATTGCTTCTAGCACCCTTAACTGTCTCTCTGGTTCTATCAGTTATACCCTGTACCCCTGCTCCTGGATTGCATAAGTGTGATCTTTTGCTCATATTTACTCTACCAGAGAGTCACCTACAACCATATTTTCCCTATCCTTTACACTATAATCCCTTGTGATCTAATCTGTTTCCCTTATCTGCTCCCTCTCATCACTAGCAAATGTTTGGAACCAGTTGCTTAACCTAAACCCAAGCCCATCCATGCCCCTAAATGCATTATTTCTCAAGCTTTTAGCCCTATTTCCTTTCTTAGCTCCCTTGAAATCCAGTTTGTCAAATGTACCTTTGCATGTAGAAGTTTAAGTACTTCACTAAGCCCCACCACCAATTCAAGCATTTCTCCCTTCCTACCTCTGCAACTCTACCCAAAAAACCTCCAACTTCTCTAATCTGCATACCCTGCAAATCAATTGTACATCCTGCTACTAGCCTCCCTAAAAGTACACTTTAACCCAGAGTTTATAAATAAAACACTCTCCTGGCATCTATCACACTTTATCAACTGAGTACCCTTAGTAGCTAGACTATTCTTAACCATATCTGATTATTATATTGACTGTAATTTTAAGTGTAAAGTGTAATGAAGTTAAGAGTATACTTAATGTGATATTACTAGTATTACTATTACTACTAACGTGTAACAGGTCCGATAACTATTAAATTTTATTTAAGATAACTGCCTTATCGGTTTAAAAAAACCTACCACTAAAATTTAACTTTAAGCCTAACGTTAATGGTAAATGAGTAACTGTAATCCAATTTAATCTTAATCTAAATACTTTTTGTTTAAAATATGAATACTTTCACAAATTAACTTTAAAATATCTATTTCTAAACAACTTTTGAATGATATCTATTAAATTTTATTTAAAT